ATTTTATAAATGAAAATATATTTTGTATGAATATTTTGTTATGTTCAATTTTTTAAATTTTTTGTATGAATATTTAAATAGTTAACTATGCTCCAATCAATTATTTATGGAGCCGTGGCTGACTAACTGTATTGCCAAACAAAAACTGCATTGCAGTATGCAAAATAGCAAAAGTTTGAATTTTAATGGGTACCACAACATCGTGGGGTATGAATTCGGTGCCATGATTAAGGAACACCTATGGTGAAACTTATCAGTTTTGCTGACACACTGTATGGTCGGCAACCGTCCCTGTCGACATAATGGTGCCTGTTTTTATTATTATTAGAGTTAAAAGGTTAGATCCGAGATTTTTTTTTCCCAATGTCCTCTTTTGAAATAGAAAATGCTATAATATTTTATTCTAAAATTTAATTACGGAACTGCTCTATTTTTAGTGGATGTTCGTCCATTGAGTGGGCGAGTGTGTGCAGCGAAAATGGCTCTTGAGTGAGTTTGTTTATCTAATGAGTTTGTCCACCCAGCGGACGAGCGTGTGAGGGAGTGAATTTGTTTTAATTTTTTTTATTTTATTTATTTAATTATGATAAATGATAATTTTTATTAATGATGATAAATGATAAATTATAATAATTTTTAATGTTAATAATTTTTTATAAATGTTAATAATTTATAAAATTATGATAAAGATTAAAAATTATGATAAAGAATTAATGATGATATATTACACTTAATGATATATATTGCACTTAATGATGATATAAATTCTTGGGCATTACACTTAATGATGATATATTATTAACATTAAAAAATTATTAACAATTATCATTATTAAGTGTAAAAGATTATTAACATTAAAAATTATTCTCATTTATTATCATTAATAAAAATTACTATTTATCAGCAGTAAATAAATAAAACAGAAAAAAAAATAAAAAAGAATTCACACCTTCATATGTCCATCCATGAACGAACTCACTTCAGGGCTATTCACTCTGCACAAGCTCATCCACTCAGTAGACGAGAGCACCACTGAAAATGAAACAGTTCTATAATTAAATTTTAGAGTTTGAGTATTATGGCATTTTATATTTTAGAAGAGGACATTCTGAAAAAAAGAAATCCAGACAATTTATTCGGTGCAGTGTTTTTAAGACAATTTTAAAGATAAATTTTTTTCCTAATTTTCTAATTTTAAGTCAATTTAAAATAGCAAAGGTCGCATTAATTTTATTCTTGGCTCATTAATTGAGAGTATCTATCGTGTCATGTTTAAAGGATAACAACCATTTATTTGATGGATATTGATTAAAAGCAAAGACGGCATATATAAACGAAAATTTGATAGAGGTACTCACTTGATTAATAATACATGCCTTTAAAATGAGGGAAGTCAAGGTTGACAATAATATATATATATATATATATATATATATATATATATATATATATATATATATATATATATATATATATATATATATATATATATATATATATATATATATATATATATATATATATATATATATATATATATATATATATATATATATATATATATATATATATATATATATAAAGTGAAAATCTATTTACTCTAAGAATAAATTTTTATAATTTACATCACAATCATGACTTTTAAATTAGATTTAATCAAATAATTATAAATAAAAATGTTAATTTAATCAATAGATTATATTCAATTTAAAAGCTATGACGTAAAGTAAGTTAAAAAAAAACTTACTCTTATAATAAATTGATTCCTAATATATATATATATATATATATATATATATATATATATATATATATATATATATATATATATATATATATATATATATATATATATATATATATATATATATATATATATATATATATATATATATATATATATATATATATATATATATATATATATATATATATATATATATATATATATATATATATATATATATATATATATATATATATATATATATATATATATAAAATGGAGATCAACTAATTTAAAGAGTAAGTTTTTTTTCACTTACTCCAAATCATAATCTTTAAACTGAATTTAATCTAGTGGTTAATTAAATAAAAGATTATTTTAACTATTAGATTAAATTCAATTCAAAGGTTATTATTTGAAATAAGTTAAAAAAATTTACTTTTGGTAGTGTACGGTCAGTAAAAAAAATATTATATATATATATATCCAATCAAAATATTGTAAAGTGGAAAATCATATAAGTAATTTAAGAATTACATACTGATTTGGCGGAATACAAGATTGTCATTGGTTGGTTGTGTAAAAATAATTTTCACTGTCAGTGCACCATCCCTATATATTACATTCTGATTTGGTGGAATACAAGATTGTCATTGGTTGGTTGTGTAAACATAATTTTCACTGTCAGTGCACCATCCCTATATATATATATATATATATATATATATATATATATATATATATATATATATATATATATATATATATATATATATATATATATATATATATATATATATATATATATATATGAGTTTGCTAACGTATATCCACTTGTTTTTATAAAGGTCTATTTTAGCAACACGCACCTTAAAGTGCATCTAACAATTTTTTAGTTAAAATTTACTAAAATAAAACTTTCTAAAACAAGTGGATCTATGTTAACAAACTATATATATATATATATATATATATATATATATATATATATATATATATATATATATATATATATATATATATATATATATATATATATATATATATATATATATATATATATATATATATATATATATATATATATATATATATATATATATATATATATATATATATATATATATATATATATATATATATATATATATATATATATATATATATATATATATATATATAAAAGACATATCTAATAAAAATATTATTTTTATATATGAAAGATAAGAATAATTATTAGTCTTTAGATTGGTTAATATTAAAAAGTTTATTTAAAGAACGTGTGTCTCTTTCATCATTATCATTATATATATATATTATTTGAGAGAAATGACATATTATTTGAGAATGTCATTTTTACGTGAGAACATGAGAATAAATTTGAACCGTTAGATTTTAAATTAAATGATAGAGATTATGCGTCATGTTTTTTTCTCTTTCGTCTATCATTTATAGAGAGATGACATATTATTTAAAAATGTCATTTTTATATGAGAACATGAAAATAAATTTGAACCGTAAGATTTTAAAATAAATGGTGGAGATTATGCGTCATTTTTTCTCTCTCCTCCATCATTTATTTAATAATGAAGGAGAGAGAAAAAAACCACATAATTTACATTGTTTATTTTAAAATCTAATTGTTCAGATTTATTCTCACATTCTTAATTTTTCGTCAAATTTAGGGCAAGTTTATTTTAGCTTTAAAAAAATGGGTTTTTTATTTGTATTTTGAAAAATAGAATCTAATAAATCGTTTTTCTAAATATTACATGTTTTTTTAAATTTGTTTTTTTTTTAAATTAAAAGACAAATTTTGACATACTATAATATAAACATACATTATTGAAGATCAAAACATAGTCAAAATCACAATTTTTTCAAAAAGTTGTATCTCTAAAAATGATTTTTATGAAAAGCTATTTGAAATAACTTGAAAATTAAGTTTTTTTTTTAAATATCGACATAAAATAATAAAATACATAAAATAATATTTTAAGAATAACTATTCAAACGAAGTTTTTATTTGAAACTTTTATTAAAAATTTCTTTGTAAATAAATTTTACACCAAAATATATTACACTATAAAAATCTTTTTAAAAAAAATCAAAACAATGAGAAGTTCCATAAAATAGAAAAATCAATATCACATTCAAACACTAAAATATTATTTTGACTATGTAAATACAAAAATGATATTATTAGATTTCATTGTAAATGATTGTTCATTATTGTTTAAGTATTATTAGAAGACAAGTTAGATGGGTATAAAGTATTGATTTTATCAATAAAAGGAACGATCTATATTTTTTACATAGTATCATTAAGTATTAGTA